TTTTTTATTCTTTTCAAATATTCATTTTACTTCCAGTTGTTCGATTTGATCAAATATCTTTTCTATCTTCGAAATTTACCCTCCAAACCCCAAACCCCTAACCTTCTTTATCTTATTTAGCCTCGAGCGTAAGATGAATCGATATAATCGAACATATAAATCGTTTCTTCGATATTCCCTAACAATTCTCATCACTTTCATTTTCTTTTCCTAACACCCTCACCCTCATCCTCGTTTTCTCTTTCTCTTTCTCTCTTTCTTTATCATCCCTTTATTTATATATATGTGTGTGTGTGTGTTTTTTTTTATTTCTCGCTTGGAAAGAAAGGAATGAAAAATTGTACGATAGTACAAACATCATCGCGATAACACCAGAGGGCTTGTTTTTACCCCCTCAACCCCCCCATTCCACGAATCGTGTTGAATATTTTCATCGATTCCACGAAATCTCTTATTTCTACACAATATGTTTTTTTTTCTGTTTTTTTTTTTTTTTTTTTTTTTTTTTTGTTATCTCGAATAATTATTAATAATATATACGTATGTATATACATAATATAATGCGTGTATATAAACNGAATCGTGTTGAATATTTTCATCGATTCCACGAAATCTCTTATTTCTACACAATATTTTTTTTTTTTTTTTTTTTTTTTTTTTTTTTTTTTTTTATTATTAACCCGTTTTTCTATAATATTTTCTCCGATAACAATGTTAACTTGTCTTTTTTTTTTTTGTTCTACGCCTATCCCTTTTCCCTACCAACCCTCTTGGAAATTACTAGTCACCTTTCCCCCCCCCCTCCCTCCTACTATTCGATCAACTTAGTATTATATATCTAACTTAGTATACTTTATCGATCCTTTCACGAGTTTAAACGTTGCTAGTAGAACAGGTAGAAAATAGTTGAAAGAGAGAGAGAAAGAAAAAAAGAAATAAAGAGAGAAATAAAGAGGGAGAGAGAGAGAGAGGGGGGGGAGAAAAAAGGAAAGATAGAAGAGACACGATTTAGAAGAAAATCTTTTTAGGATTTATCTCATGAAAATGTTATATTATCTCGAATACTCGCTAAGAATTTTCAAGTGAAGTTACATATACATATACATATACATATACATATACATATACATATATATCTTGTGAAAGGATCAACGTAGAAATTTTCTTCAAGTATCGATCGTTAAAAGAATGACACGCAAACCATAAACGAGACGAGCACGTGTGTTATCGTAAATCAATATTTTTCTTTTTATATAATATATTTTACTGTTTTTCCTTTTTATTTTTTTTATTTGTTCATTCTGTTTAATATTTGTCTTCACACGAGACGTTGATTTTCGTTCATCCCCTTTTTATTGGATTGTACCAGAAAAAAAAAAAATTCGTGCTGATTCTTGACAGAAAATTGAAACGCAACATATTAAAAGTGTTTTTTTTTTTTAATATTTTTTATTAAATTATATGTGTCATTATGTTTCACAATCAATTCTCTCATCTTTATGGGTAATTAAAAGAATTTCGTTCTTCCAAAATTACTCAGATTTTTCAACAACAAAACTGTACGTCGCCTACTGAAACCAGCACGAACATTCCAGACAACCCAATAATATATTAGCCGAATTATTTTGTCAATTGCAATTTTCATATTGTAGAAACATGCAAAAATTAACGACTCGTTGTAATCGTAAAGTTTAAAAACTTAAGAAGAAGAGAAGAAAATAGTCTCAGAGAGTCAAATTAACTTTTGCATTAAAACGTTTCTGCACGTTTTATTATGTTTGGATAATAAAAAAGAAGAAGAAGAAGATAAAGAAGAAGAAAAAGAATATTAACGAAATGAAAAGAAATAAAAAAAAAACACCCCTAAGAAATAATAAGAAGAAGAAAAGAGATAGAGAGAGAGAAAGAGAGAGAGAGAGAGAAAAGAAAAATAATAAAATAGACAAAAGGAAATAAAGAAACGAAATTTCAATCTTCGTTGCAACAATGCGCATAGTTTGTTCATAAATGCTCCCACGGGTTTGCATGTTGGAACAAATTTCAGTGGTTTAGAAATACATGGGAGAGGGTGGAGGGTGGCTGTGTGTTTACTCGGATAAGCGAAAAGAAACACGCGAAGTACACGCGTTCTTTTTTCCTATTTTTTTCTGTTTTTTTTTTTTGCAACCAATTATTATTGTTAAGCATACCGAAAGAGAGAGAAAGAGAGAGAGAGAGAGAGAAAAGAATCAACGAAGAAACAAATAAAAGATAAAAAGAAGAAACTGAATAGAAATGTAAAAAGTAAAGAAAAAAATGTAAAAGATGAAAAGGGGTAAGTTGTGGTGGTAGTTGTTGTGTATAGATGTGGTTGATAATAAGAAGTAAAAAGTACGAAAAGTTAAGAAGAAAGTAAACGAAAAACAACTTGCAATTTTCCCCCACGGTTTATTATTAATTCTTTAAAGAAATTAAACAAATTATTGCATCGTCGTCTGCGAGAGAGTACACACACTTTAGTCAAATTTTATTCTCGTTATTGTTGTTTATAAAAATGATTTATCTATGCATATACACACAGAGATAATGACGATTATTCTTCTAACACGTGAAACGAAGATTGTCTGATTATATTATCTATGGTCTGATTAAAAATTATTTACCCTGATATTCAGTTCACGTTTGATTTCTACCCCCCTTTCATGATTCAATTCATGATACTGTAAAAAATCAAATAAAGTATATTATATATATGTGTGTGTGTGTGTATCTGAAATAAAAAAATAGGGATGAAAACTATATCGTATTCATCGTTAGATTAAATTATACATAATTTTGATTATTAAATCCTATTGTCACTAAGTTATTTTTTTCCCCTAGAATAACTTTCCCCCATTCGTTTACTTTTCCATTTTGTTGTTGTTGAAAATTTCGACTATTTAGGCTATGTTTATTATAATTATATAGACTTATATAATAATATAAGATTATAACGTCATCGTTAATATTAGAATTGAATAAAATAAAAAACATCCTAATCCCTTTCTTTCATAAGCTTGTTCAGAAACTTGCTTTTAATATATTATCGCGTGCTTGTAGGTAATTCGTTTGATATTACACACACATATACGTATTCTAACATATGTGTAAATATTAATACACATATGTGTTTATAATATTCGCGTTCTTCTACTTGCAAATATATATAGATATATGTCTCGTGTTTCGTAATTTCGCACGTAAACCGGGACTTTAGGATGTCGAGCTTTACGCGATTACCGTAACACCTACGTTAAGCTCACATTACTTCCGCTTGCATACATCATTCGTGGAACGAGCGTGATTACTAAATTTTCATAATAATCATTCGTGTAATACTTGTCACGTGTAAAAAAAAAAAAAATGATCGTTCGTGTAAGTATTTCTTTTTTTTTTTTTCATCGTATGGAAATAAATCAATACGAACAGTTTGTTCTATTTAAATAAAATAAAAGAAATGTTTATATTTTTTTTTTCTATCTCTCTTTCTCTCTCTTTAGTTTTGTTCGAAGAAAAATATTAAATAATTTTGCAATATTTCTATTTCTATTTTTTTTTCTAGATATTAATTAAACATGGAATTTATGTTCGTTTAAATTAATATCAAATGTTTTTTATTATTATTTTATTTAAAACAAAAAAAGAAAACGTTTAACTCGTTGACAATTGTTTGTTAAAAAATAACGAGATCACTTTCCATTAATTTTAAATGATAATTAAATTTGCCAAGAGATTTTAAATAATTTTAACAATTATTACAATTACATTCATAATTATTATTATTTCATTTTTAAACGTAATGACCATTAACCTGTATTTTTTTCTTTCCAGTAAAACGTTCTTTAAACAATTCAATCAATTTATGAATTTAATGCAAACAAAAAAAAACAAAAAAATATACTTATACTTTCTTCACTAAAATACCTACACATATTCTTATATCACATACACACACACAAAAATGTCAAGAACCATCGTCCATAATTTGATTGAAACACATACAAGATGTTACCCCTTTGGTTCTTTTCATATTCTCAAAATCTATCGATACTATCATATACTATTCTTGAGACATGTGTTGGAAGCACGACTAGGGATATAAAAAAAAAAAAAAAAATGTACAAGAGAGGAAATATCCTAGGATCGATATAAAAGTGGTATATTCTATTATATCGTCGTCATTTTTCATATCCCCCCAATCTTTCTTTCAAATCCGGATCTTTAAGTCCATCATCATAGTCATCCCCTAAAATTCGTGAGACCTAAAACCTCTTGGCAACTTTCCACACACATACACACGCACGTTCCACTTATAAAGTATATGCTTTAGTAATATGCAAATGAAAATAATCCTGAGAAAAGGTCGAACGGGGTTTTCGGCAGGTAAACGTGATGGGGGAAGTTGAGTATAATCTATAGAAAGAATATATATATATTATATAAGAATATATTACATATATATATATGTAAGATAGAAAGGGTTGTATAATCTTTTTTTGCCGAGTCGGCCAGCCGCTCGAACAAAATTCTTCATCGTCATGCTGAAAAATGATTGGTTGGTTGGTTTGTTGGTTGGTTGGTTGGTTGTTTGCTTCTTGGCAAATGCCAGGTTAACAAAATACGCGATACACCACGTTCGATTCTTGTAACCTCGCCAAAAACTTCGATCTTTTTAACTGTAGGACATGTATCCCTTGTTCATTTTCTTTTTTTTTTTCTTTCATGATTTTTTTCTCTCTCTCTCTCTCTCTCTCTCTGTGTGTCTCAAAACGAATCAAATCGAACCATATCACTAAGAACCTAGTGATAAATTATTTAAGAGGTTTTGATTACTTTTTTATTCTCACCCTTCTTTTCTTTTTAGATTTTTGATCGTTGTTCTTTCATCGTCATAGTCGCGATCGGCTTTAATCTTCTTTTTCTTGTTTTTTTTTTTTTTTATAATACATTTTCCACGATATTATTATCATCTCTCAACCTTTGTCTATCTACCTATCTATCTATCTATCTATCTATCTAAACTAAATCTATCTACCCTTTTTATCTACCTATCGGCTTGAATCTTTTATAGAAAATGGTCTCAGGAATGCTCGAACTAGATTTTATGAGCACCTATTGAAAGTCTGGCTGCTCGTACTACTTTTTGGAACACTTTGCCTTTTATTCTTTTGTTCTTTTTTGTTTATTAACTTTCCCCATTTATTTTCGAATCTATCGAAGGCAAAAGAAAAAAGAAAAAAACAAAGATACAATGTTAAATTAAACTGCACATTAAATTTCATCCCTTATATCACTTTGGTAATAATTATTATTTTCTTTTTTGTTAAACTTGACGCAAAATTTGTGATAACGAAGCAAATATTATTCAGGGTGAGTTTCCTTGTGATGTCTTCTTACACGTGATGCAGCAGCAGCAGTAGCAGCAGCAACAGTAATAGCAAATAGGCATAGTTATTATCATATACGAGATTGGAATAATTTTATCATCAAGTAACCAACCCTATAGTGGTACCCTTCGAATAGGTATCATGGTAATTATTTCTTGATCATGGGTTTTATACGACATAATGATATAACAAATATGACGAAACTTTTTCAATCGTAGTTCGATTTTCAAAAATATTTTAACGTTTTCTAAAATGTGTGCATAATTCTGCGTGTATATATATATATATATATATATATATATATATATATATGTTTGTGTATGTGCATGTTGATATATACACTTTCGTATGTTAAAACTGTTACTAACATAAGAAACAAAAGAAAAAAATGAAATTAAAAATGAAAATAAATTAATTTTAATTGGGAGGATATTATGGAAGGAAGATTTATATATATATATATCGATTATAAATCCTAAAAATCCGACTGAGAAGTGATCAAACCACTCTCAGCCGTTTCCTCGCGTCGTCATAAGGGTCTGGTTACTTCACCGCATTCACATTCACAGTGCATCGGATAACCTCGCCTATCCACGCGGTTGCTGATAGAGTGGTCGCTGCAACAGAAAGAAGAATTGATAGTCAAGATTTGAAAATAAAACGACAGATAACTAGACTTTTTTTTGTTTTGAGGGCAGGGGAGAGGGGGCGGGGTATTTTCTTCTTTTTTTTTTATCTATTTGACCTGACCTATATAACAAACTAGAATATTATTCTCTTTGCTGTTTACGTCGATGTGTTTTCTTTCACGGACATCTGTTATCTGTTATCATCCTTCGACGAATTTATACGCGTGTATTATTGTATTCTATATTTGTATATGTATGTATGCAGGATATTGTTTGTTTCGTGTAATATTTTGGATAAAAATATAAATCTTATTACGAATACTACGATTTACTTATTATTAATACGAATTCTAAATTCTAAAATAATCAAATGAACTTTAAATTGTAAATAATATTAATCCTGTAAACGTAATATTGATGAAGTATAAAAAACACAAGCTAGGAAGAAAACAAGAAACTTTTCAATTAGGTTTAGTAAATTTAATTTTTTGTTCAAACGTGCTTTTTCTCCCAAAATGTTTAACTAGAAAATTTCAATAACCGATATGGCCCAATGAACGTGCTAGAAACGGACGTAGTTAGGAAATATGGAACGTGTACGTAATTGTCGGTCAATGCAGCAACGTAATGCATAAGTAATGTACTACGGAAGAGCTACCGACACATCACGAATGTCACATATTCAACCTGACCGACATACTTACGACTATACTGATATATAGAATATATATATATTCATTATCGTACGTTTCGTAAACCTATTCGATAAAATCGAACGATCGAACGAACACAATAATTCTGGTTAATACGTTCAATTGAAAATTTCAATGAAAATTAATATTACCCCAACCATCCTAGACCCACCCCACCCCCTCATCTATTCAACCTAACTCACACGAGTGAAATGATTCAATCAAAGATCATTCTTCTTTTATTAACCATCGATCGATTCCAATAAAAAATTTCAATATCATTATACGTTCCTTTTTAAATGAATTCTCACTCTATTGTAACGAAAATCTCAATAGGATAAAATAGAGAAATGTTTTTAACCTAAATTTCGTATAGTGCGCTAGAGAAGCCCCTTTTACTTATTAGCAGCTAGGTGAACGAAAGAATAGATGATGGCCAAACTTCGTTCACAAAAGGGGTTGTTCTTCTTCTATTGTCAGAGGTTACTTGCAGTGGATAGGCAAACGTACTGGTGTGTACTTTCCTTCGACAAAACTGAACAAACTAGAAGTGTCTGTTATATCTTTTTAGAACTATCTCTCTTTCCTATTCTCACACACACACACACACACACACACACACACACACACACATTCTCCACTCACTCTGACTATGCAACTGGAACCTTAAGAATATTGCATATTCATATCTGAACAGTTTCATCGTGATAAGGCGTTCAATAACACACATACACTGATTTTGTCTATCACTTTTTCTCTTTTTAACTCTTTGTGAAAAAGTCTACTTCGGCCTGTGAGATTTTACAATGGTTGCCGCAGGGGTCGTAAAAGTCTACATAGGCCGAGTGGGAAATTAAAGAGGAAAATCGAAAGAAACCCACAACGACGACGACGACGACGACGACGACAACGAAGAAAAGAAAAAGAGAATATGCGAACTAAAAAAGAATCTGAGAAAGATAGATGATTGTAATCTGTGCTCCTAGATGAGAAAAGAAGAAAGATAGATATATAGATATTAGAAAAAAGAAAAAAGAAAAAAACAGAAAAAAGAAAAAATTATTCTAGATAGTCACGCGTAACCCTGACCCACATTATATATTCAAGAGAAGTGTGTAAGAACGTATAACTATAGTACATTAGACTATACCATATAAGCCGATTTTATCAGGTGGATAACGTCCACTATGTCTTATGATTCAATAATACTCGAACAATGATTTTTACCAACTCGTAATATCGCGTGTTGCACGCATTTTAAGAACACCTATCTGAAAATTCAATTACATCCATCAAATCTACGAGTTTTTCTTTTTATCTCTTTCTCTTTTAATATTCTCTGCAATTAATTTAATTTTATTTTTTTTTATTGTGAAACAAATCAAATCTCGATGTGCTAACGATTAAAAAATAACTAAATAAATAAAATTAATAATTACATTTGAATTTATTTAAAATGGTTTTTTTTATTTTATTTTTTTTTTATTTTTGTTTTTTTTTTAACTACGACAAGTAGAGTTGAAATATTGTTTAATAAAATTGATGACAGTTAACGATTCGCATAAATTTAAAAAAACCCTGGAATCTTTCCACGTGTCATTATTATTTCTTTCATCCATTCGTTCATCTATTTCTTGTTCATATTCTTCTTCCCTTTTTTAAACCGTTGACAGACATAAAGACGAGTAAAAGTATTTTGCATAATCTCATATAGCTTTGTAAATTTATTCCGGAACATTCAACTACCAACACACGCGGCCGTTTAGGAGCAGAAGGTCGAGAATTTTATGCAAATGAATTCCAGTTGTCCAAGAGACAATGGTGATGGTAGTAGTGATGGTTATTGTGGTAGTGGATCGTGATTTTTAATACCGCGTTAAAATCCATAACTTCAAATCGAAATCGTGACCGATGGTTAAGAGATTTCATTAATTTTTAATCTTAATTAAAAAAAAAAAAATGTTCAAATTAATTTTTAAAATCCAACGAGAAATTTCAAAATGTTTCCTTCATTTCTTCTTCTTCTTCTTCTTCTTCTTCTTCTACTTCTTCTGAATAATTTTTCAATCATTATTATTATTATTATTTTTGAATACTATTTGGAAAGGGACCAAACAATGTTGCATAATATCAAACGTTTAAAAAAAAAACAAAAATAAAATAAAAAAAAAAAAAAATAGGAACAAGAGAGAAAGAAACAAAAAGAAATCTGGATAACATAAAATTTGGGTTAACTACTAGGGCTAGGACAACAAAGCTGTGCCTTCCTCGTCGAATCTCGCGAATCCCTGACCTATATCCCTTCCTAGGGTAGGTAACAGTTTCATGGCGTTCTAAAATGTTCTACGAGAGCTTGGAAATCGAAATTCACTGCACGTGTAATTTTTTTCTATTTTTTCTTTTTTTTACAAGTAGACGTTTAATTAATTTTTTTTTTTCTTTTCTTTCGTTACTACGTTGATATCTCATAAACCACATATGTATCTCACAAGCACATATCTCATAACACACGTATAAAAATTTAGTGTCACATTGTTGGTTTCCAAAAAAGATTTGAAACTACTGAATAGATTTTAATTGAAATTTTGTTCATTTTTTTTCGTGTGATTTTGTTCAACTTAGTATATAGAATAATTTTTTTTTTTAAGGATTTTGTATTATTATTTTATGCGTTGTTATAATTTACTTCTTATAATAAATAGTTTAGAATTATATTAAATTAATATTTTGTAACAAAACCACAGCAACGTGTGTATCCATTATATATAAATATGTAGAGTTCAACGTTAATTGAATATTTAAAAAAAAAAAATGTATAAGAAAAAAAAGATTGAAAAAAAGTTTAGTTTATCATAACGATTGAACACTTTTCAATCAGAATTCTTCCTCGTCCTATTAACGTCCACGTAATAACGTCGAGTAAACGTCACGTTCTACCTTTTCTCTAATAATTAGCTTCCGATAATTATTGGCGTTGCGGCCGATCACTTGGCAGTCTCTTCGTTCATTAAATGAAATTTTATGCTTCTATTATTTCCAACAAATATATGAACAAACGTCTAACTTAGTAATCATCCCAATTTGTTGTTCATCTTCTCTCAACATTTCTTTCGTTAGGATAAAAAATACATTTTGAAAATGACTTTATTGGAAAATTATTATTTCATTATTTATTCATATCAATTTAGATTATTATTATTTATTTGAAATTATTCATCGTCCCTTTGGCTATTTTATTTTTAAATAAAATTTGTCCATTTTTTTTTTACCATTTGAAAACCTCTCGAACGTTAACAATTAATATTATCTAGAATAAAGTTATTCAATTTAGATGGAATAATAACCTAGTATATTTCATTTTACCTAGTTTATCCTATATGTACATTTCATATAGATATATGTAGTTTTCTCGTGGGACAAATTTATCCGCTTCGTACAAATGGCAATTCGAGAACGATTCGACAAATGGCGCTTTTAAGGTCGGGACCGTTAAGTTTTACTCCGTGAGAGTTTAATCCACACCGGACTGCCACAAAATTACATCCACTTTTTTTTTTAAGTACATCCCCTCTTGCACGTACGTCCCCCTTACGTCCTTATTATTATTATTATTATTATTATTATTATTATTATTATTTTCTGTACCACATTTTTACACGAATACCTTTTTTTCTTTTTTATTTCTTTAACGTAGCAACTAGAAGAATCTAACAATTATTTACATTTTGTTCAAACCAAACCATTCAGATGAAGCTTTTATTATTATTAAAAAAAAAAAAAAAGAAAAGAATAGAAAAAGGACATTCTAACGGGGTAGGAAAATAAATCCACAACGTGGTGAAGTTTTAAATCCAATCCCCAAAGGATCCAATGTTGTTGCTTGGACGAATTCGTTTTACGATCATAACGAGAAAACATATTATGCAATTATGGTAGCTTTTTGCGGTAGTCCACTTTATGCATATGCAGTAAACGTTATAGTAAGGTACAGATTGCGAAGGTCGTGACCCGGTCAGCGAACAGGTGCGAAGCCGCCGCTTATCGATTTCCATTAACCGAACGACGACAGGTCGAATTCATTCGTTCATTCGTTTGATTTAACGTATTATATTCGATTTCAATAACTGTTTGATCTTTTTTCTTTTTGTTTTATCTATTAAAATATATCAAATGACCATCTATTACGTAGACTTATTATTAAAAACCTACTACWACTATCTAATCAAAAATTAATCATTTATTTTCATAGAGATATACTACACATAAGGCAGACAAACCAGCAATAAAACCTGTCGG